GGCTCACCAAAAAGATATTCAGTTGTTTCAAATACACACAGAGGCTTTTAACTGTGTGGATCACAGCAAACTAGATAGCCTTGAGAAGGAAGAATGGAAATTCTGGAACAGTTAACTGCTCAAGAGCAGTGTGAACTGCTCAAGAGGCAGCTGAAGGAACATAACAAGAGAATACCACCTCATTTAAAATCAGGAAGGTGTGCAACAGGGTTGTATCCTCTCACCATATTCATCAATCTGTAAGCTGAGCAAATAATCGAGAAGCTGGTTTGTTAAGATACATTATCAGGATTGGAGGAAGGCTTATTAACAACCTTCAATATGCAGATGACACAACCTTGCTTGCTGATGAAAATTAAAAACTGCTGCTTTCAGTATGGATTACAACCAAAATCCTCACAACTGGACCAATAATTTTTTTTTCCTGGACCAATAATTAACATGATAAATGGAGAAAAGTTTGAAGTTGTCAAGGATTTCTTCTGGGTTGCACCCACAATCAATGCTCATGGAAGCAGATGTCAAGAGAGATCAAGGGATGCAATGCACTAGGTAAATCTGCAAAGGACCTTTTAAAGTGTTGGAAAAAGTATGTTACTTTTGAGGATCAAGGTACACCTGGCCCAAACCATGGCATTTTCAATCACCTCATATGCATGTGGAAGGCACTGAATAAGGAAGACCAAAAGAAAAACAGAAGCATTGACATATGGCATTGGAGAAGAATATTCAAAGTACCACACAGACTGCCAAAAGAACAAATGGATTGGAAGAGGTTCAGCCAGAATGCTCCTTAGAGGCAAGGTGTTGAGACTTCACCACACATACCTTGGACATGTCATCAGCAGCGCCCAGTTCCTGGAGGACACCATGCTTTGGTAGAGTGGAGCAGCAGCAAAAAAGCAATGCCCTCAAGGAGATGGAACGACAACCACCGTGGGTGCGACAAGAGGCACAAACATTACGTGAGGCTAGCACAGGACCAGGTAGGCTTTCATTCGTTTTGTACCCATGGTCGCTGAGAGTCAGAACAACTACAAGAATAGGAAACAATTACCGAAGTAATCAGGCAGGCAAGACCAGCAGCATCTCACAACCATGATCAAGTCTTTGTAACTTTATCCTGGAAAACAGAATCCAAGGCTGCTTTTGAATCCTGAGAAAATGCATAGTATAGTTCAGTAAACAATCAACAAGCACCTGAAACATTACCCTTGGAAGTTAATCTGCACATTTACTGCCTCACTAAAATGTTGACAGTATCTACCTACTTCTAGGAGCTTAAAGGAATTGGGCCTGGGCAGTGGACCAGTGGTGCCAACCCACTATCCATGCTGTGGCATTCAGCTTTCAGGAGAACTTTTTAAAGATCCACCACTCAGCCATCAGGCTATTCAGATTCACAGCGACCCAGAGGACAATGTTGTGACTGTCCTTGTGTTTCTGCCACTCCAGAGGGATTAAAGCTTCAGAAACCCTAGCCACAGTTCTACAATGTCCTACAGGGTCACTTGAGTATGAATAGAACGGCTAACAGTAAGTGGCAGAGGGACTAGTGTGCTCTTTTTCTATGTGCTTTGTCTTAAAAACAATTCAGATATTTACAGGTTAAAATTAAAACTCTTTCCCAATAATTACCAAAATGGATAAAACTTCAGGTAGAAACAACTCAAAATACACACAGTGAAAACAGACCACTTTATAATATGCTCTAGTGGTCTACTCAGTGCCCCAAACAAATTACAAGGGTGGTTATAAACAAAAGCACCTTTCACTTTCCAGCACACCTGCTCTACCAAGCAAGGACATTTAATATCTTTTGGATGAAACGGAATGTAACTTAAAAAAAAAAAAAGTTCCTTTGTGAGTAAAGGGGCACTATAAAGTTCATGGAAAATGGAACAAGATCATGGAATTTTCCCACCAGCTTTTGAAGGCCAGTCATATCACTAACATTCCCTACACACATTTTTTATCACTCATGTTACATTTTAAAATACATTCAGGCAACCAATTTTCCTGTTTTGGTCATAGAAATCTAGCATAGATTTTTTAAAAAATGTTCAAATTTACCCAAGAATTAACTATGCACAGAAATTTTTAGGTTTGGTTACAATTCACCACTCAATCATCAATATTTCCATATGGGTTAAGAATTCACTCCTTTGATTTTATTTGTCAAGAAGCAGTTACCAATGGCAAGGCTATCAGCAATTGGAAGCCACCAGCCACTGTGCGAGAATAAAGATCAGATTTTCGACCCTGACCCTACAGGACTGCTATGTCAGAATGGACTCAATGGAGTGGGTGTCGGCCCGCCCCCGCTGAGTTTGGATCCTATCTTTTATTACATTGCAAGCAAGCAATATTGAGCAATGTAAGCAAGTTTTTGAGCGTGGACCATATTTAGTGCCAGACAAAATTCCAAGTGCTCAGTTCTTTAACTTACATGGATTTCTTATCTTATAAAACCCCACATGATTTTTTTATACTGTGCTACAATTCCCTTATGTGGGGTTCTTAGACACCATCCATTTGGGTCTAATTCTTAACAAACCTATGTACACTAGGAAGGAAACAATGTCATTGCTGCTGGAGCCACCGTGTCCATCCACCATTCACTGAAGGTCTTCCTATTTATCACTGACCCTCTACTAAGCATGATGTCCCCATTTTTAGTGACCAGGAAATGAAGAGAAAGGGGGAAATAACAAGGTATGGTGAGAAAGTCTTAAATGCTATTAAACAACAACAAAAAGCCCTGGTAATGTAGTGGTGAGGCTGCCAACCACAAAGTTAGCTGTTCAAATTCACCAGCAGCTTCTCATTTAAAAGATGCTTTCTTTCTAATCCCGTAAGATTTATAGCCTCTGGAACCTGGAAGGGCAGTTCCGCTCTGTCCTGTGGGGTTGTTATAAGTTAGAATGCTAACCTGAAAAGAGAATTAAGCAAGTCAATGATAGATGCTCAAGCCCATCTACTAATGTAGGTTCCATTTATCCTCCTTAAGACCAGTCTTCTTAAGCCAAATTAGGGTTTGTTTAGGTTTGAATCATTTATTTGAACTCAGGCAACCTCTTAACTAGCTTGAACCTTTGTAGTTCCTGAGGATCACATAAATAAATCTCATTTATTGTCAGTTTACATCTTTTTAAAATGTCCTTTATGTAATCAAGACAGTATGTATTACTTCAGTAGTAAAATTACAGGAGGGATAATTTAAAGTGCCAGAGAATGAGGACGCAGATACTAGTTTGAAAAGATGTTTTCCTGTCACCTAAGCATTAAAAATGGCAAATTCCACTTTCACTGCTCTCCTGAAACCAGGCAAGTAGTACTAGTCTGTGAGATTTTTAAAGTGTAGTAATTTCGCAATCAAAGATCCTAAAATAGGTACAAGCTCAAGGACATATCCTGTGGCTGGTTCATCTCTCCCCGGTAAGAGCATTGGACCTCAAGATACGCCTCTTGAAGCCTTTTCTTTTTTAACCCCACCCCACCCTTGCCATGAGAAGTGTTGCTTACTCACTGCCAATGGATTCCAACTAAGGGTTTCTTGAGACTGTTTATGGAGCACGCAGCTTCAACTTTACCCTCCAGAGCTTAACACTGGGCTTAACACTACAGTTAACAACCTAACTTAAATCAGACCGCCATCAGGCTCCTCATTAACATAGAGGCTCATAATCTTGACTCAATAAACTTACATTAAATCCCATTCCTTCCCAGGCTACCCAACTCCACTCCCTCATCTAAATGCAAAATGGCTAGTTGAGTGCCTTATTCTGAGAACTTCCATCACAGCATGCCTTTTGTTGTGAGACTAGTACAAGTTCTTCCAAGAATTTAAAGACATTTACAAACCAAATCTTTTATTTCCACCTTTGAACCGTTCAACGGTTTACTTGGGATCAACTTTTCCCCTCCAAGTAAAACACGGATCCAGGTTGTGTGCTGGGGGCATACGCAGAAAGGGCCCAGCCCAGTCACAACGAACAGGTCTTGAACATCTGTAGCAAGAAGACACTCACCCGCTGACATTAGTCTTTCCCTCTAATACCAGCAAGAACGCCATCGGAGGAAAGACTTAGAAGCCAACGGGTCAGCCCACCTCCCCTACGACTTTCAGGAGCGCAGGGCCAGCCCGGGCCGCCGCTGGGCTCGCGACCACGTGCAGGGGAAGCCGCCGGGGTTCCCCTCCCCCGGGCCCCTCCCTCCCGTCGGAATTCGCCGTCGCCGTCGTTCTTCTCATCCCCTCCCCAAGGCCTCCCTGCGGGATTTTTGAAGGAGAAACGGGGGCGCCATGGCGGCGGGTTCCGCACTCCGGCCCAACCCGCTCTCGGAGCGCCCCCCGCTCCCCAAGGCGCTGCCGCCCACTCCTTGGGAGGCTCGGGCCCCGCCGCGGCCTGGGTTTCGAGCGCGTGAAGCCGCCGGTGGAGCCCCGGCAACGGCGGCGGGGAGCAGCGCAGCCACGGGCCCTCGCAGGCCGCGCCGACTCGGAACCCCCCAAAGCCATGGGTCCCCCCAAGCCGCCCCTGAAGAACTAGCGGCCCTCCTGCCTCCTCGGGCTGTGGGCCCCACACGGGGCCAGGAGGCCCGGGAGTCCGCGGCCCCAGCTGCGGTCTCTCCGTCCCCCCTTCCGCGGAGGCCGCCCGGCCGACCCTGTGCTCCCTTCCCTTCCAGTTCCCATCCGTTACCGGCGGCCAG